TTATCTGGGCCGCGGGACAAAGGTGTAATAACCCTGCCTTATCTGTGCATTATGGTGTTATCGTGTAAGTCCTCGGTTTCCAAGGGAGCTGTTTTGTTGGGAGGTGCTAATCCCCATAAGCACTTGATCTGTCAGAGTGAAGTATAACCAACTCAGGATTAAGTGAAGGTTGTGTCACAGGTGGAAGAGTTCACCGTAGTTTGGCAAGACAACGTGTGTGTAGCAAAAACCTGCAAGCAGAGAGCAGAGTTTGTGTTATGACTTTTAGTACCCTTATTTTTAAACTAGAGTTCCCCGATCTCATACCTTCGCCAAATGATGTTAATCTTTATGACTGACAAATTATAGATTAGATTATTCCCCCCTGATTTAAGAAATAGGAACCTAATTTTCATTAATTATATCATTTTATCATAATCTCAACCAAAAGACAGTCTTATATTAACAAACAATGCATTCTAGCATTTCCTAATAAATTATACAAATGAGGTCCTGATTTGAATAAATTATGTTTAATGATGTTCACCTCAATTTTACTTTCAAATACCACAAGTATGAAATTCCAGGCAGTTATCATTACATAATTATAAAATTTTCTCATTAATTATGCAAATTAGGTCATTATTAACATAATCAATATCTTCCTGTGTTTCTCTCGTTGTCAATTACCAATGTCACAAGCTTTAATTGTCCTATCATGGAATGCAGCTGATTTATAGAATTTCCCCATAAATTATGCAAATTATACCCATATTTGCATAATTATATGAAGGATCACGTAAGCTACCTACATTCCAAAAATCACGACGATCCGTCAACCGGTTCTTGAGTTATCCACTTTTGAATATTTTCAAGAATATATCGTTGCAGTTCCAGAGCAAGCCGCTAGGGGGCCTAAACTCACATCACTTCTTCCCCAGCAAAAGAGCTACCTACCATCGAAATTTCATCACCATAGCATGTCTAGATCATGAGATATCAAAACCGGAAGTTTAGCTGCAGTACCATAACAAGCCGCTAGGGGGTCCAAAATCTAATCATTTTGAGGTCTCATCAAGACCTACCCACCTACCAAGTATCAAGACAATCCATCAAGGCCTTCTCAAGTTATCGTGTTGACAGACAGACAGACAGACACACTCACACACACACACATACACGAACGCCCCTGAAAACATAAACTTCTTGGCGAAGGTAACAAATTAATAATCCTAAGACAGGGATGAAACAAGAGCAGTCCATGCAGCATTCCACCATCAGCTTTCACTGCACAAATTTCTGTCCGCAAACTGTTTAAAGCATGCCTGCATCAACCAAGTGTATCTGCCAACAACAAAATGCATTCATTGAACAGGAACAGTCTGAAACAAATGAATAATCCTAAGACAGGGATGAAACAAGAGCAGTCCATGCAGCATTCCACCATCAGCTTTCACTGCAAAAATTTCTGTCCCCAAACTGTTGAAAGCATGCCTGCATCAACCAACTCCATGCTGCTGTCTTGAGACACCCATTGGGCATGTCATATGCCCTTAGGCCAAGGGAAAAAAATGTTGTGTTTCCTGTTTCACTCCTGAAAACATTTGGGTCGGTAGGTAGGGATAATTTTATTTTATTTTTATTTTTCATTTTTTTTTTAGAATTTGGTGATTGGTATGTTTATATATTAAGCAGAACATGTTGGAAAAATGGATGGGAAACAAAGTTATAGTTGTTATTTTCATGCGTATGATTTCTTCTGGGAACGATATATTCTTTAGTGACACTGCCGATAGTGTAGCCGCTGTAGCGTTCATGATTTTACGGAGGCCAAGGTAACGTGAAAAGACTTGCAAAGTTATGCCCGATGGCAATGTTTTCTTCATTTTGGAGCGAAATTTTCCCATCTATGGAAGGCTTTAGGTGGCTTAGAACAAAAAGGGGAATGTGACAATGATTTTCAACGTTCTGTTTTTTTTGTTTGTTTGGACTAGAACCGAAACGTTTTTAACTTTACAAGTCTGGAACCGGTACTGAGCGCACTGTTACACAGCAATCATTTTGGCAATATGCAGGGGTCCACACAAAAATAAGGCTAGGGTCGGCGTTTTTTTTAGGGTCGGTCGGGAAACAGGAAACACAACATTTATTTTCCTAGGCCTTACCAAACTGGCACATGTAGGCAGCGCGGCGTGTGCAGTCGGTCGCTTTCCACACGTAGGTGTGCCAGGAGGACACCAGGCTCACGCATGTTGGCTGAACGGAGCTGTCATTTCCCCAACCGCTGTCGTGCCAGCCATCGTTGACGCCCTCATCGACCGCGGTCGTCGCGTCATCCCACTCGACAAATTCTAGCGTGCCGTTGAGGTTGTCCACCCCGATCCAGTACTCCCACTGTAGCCAACGACTTTGCAGGTACGAACTGAGCTGGTTTTTGAAGGCCTGGATGGTATCCCTGTCTGCCAGTGCCAGTGCCCCTCCCTTGTTCCTGCAGGACCGTTTGGCTTCCTGGTAGGTCTTCAGCTCGTTGAAGAGAGCGTAGCAGGTGTTTCCAACTTGGCCGTCAGCGTCACATACGCCGGCTATGAGAACGTACATCAGGGATGGGCAGACATGACACACATACGTTGTACGTTGTACAACAGTTGTGACTTAAGAACATCAATGAATGGCAGGGGTGTGTGTCTCAAGAGATGTCTTAAGAGATATCTTACAAACATATAATTGCTTGGGAATGTCTTAAGAACAAGTTCAGATTCTTTGCAAAAATCTTCAAAATTCTTTTAAAAAAACTTCAGATATTTTCAAATATGTCAGAAAAATCTTCAGATTCTTTGAAAAAATCTCCAAATTTTCCAGAAAAGCTTCAGATTTTTTTAAAAACACCTTCAGGTTTTTCAATCTTCAACTACGTGTGATGACCCCCTCTGGGTGTCATTATGATTTGTTACGTATCAGGCCAAAAAGGCTTACACAGAATGTCAAGTACTTAGTAAGTTAAAGTATGAGTTGTAAGGGGCTACAAACTTGAAGTTTGGCTTGTGCTGACTTTTCCAAGGCAGGGCATTAGAATTTCGAATGTAACAGGGGAACCGCGTGCATATTTATTGTAAATGTGTCTGTTAGCCAGGTAATACTAGTTATGCCAATTAATATCAGCTAAAGTCATAATTTGGTGTCATGAGCACTTTAATCTTATGCACCTACAGGGGTCGAAATACCCCTCTGTGTGCAACTTGGTGCAAGTAAATTTGGTGTCGTGCAACTAATTTTTTGCCGGTATGCACGGCAGTGCAAGTTTGCTTTATCCGCTGTTACAACCTGTAGAAATATCTAATAAAGAACTGGAAAGGGAACAATTTCAACAAAACCAGAATCCATGAAGTTTTTCTTAATTTTTTGTAGTTAATAGAAGGTTACTATCTACATCGCTCTAGTACTTTTAGTAGTGTAAGCAAATATTGGATGCTATTAAAGTTAATACTACATGTACTTTTGGTTGTGTACCTTAATTATTTTTGGGGGGTGCCACTATTTTTCTTCTGGTGCAAGCACTTTTTTTTCATCTGCACCAGTGCAAGTTGGCCCCAAAATCTATTACGACCCCTGAGTCCTACCTAGGTTGTTGAGCTGGCTGGGCAGGAGTCCCAGGTAGGTGCTGCCACAGTACCTGTCCCTGTCCTGCTGAGTCAGTGTTTGTGGGGGGATGTGGAAGTCTGCTCCTCTCCCCTCAGCAAAGACGTCCTCAACAGCCACACCTGGCACCTCAAACACCTGTAGGTAACACAGGTAAGACACCTGTCAAACACCTGTATCACAGTATCACAGGTAAGGCCACACCAATTTAATTTCTTGGTTATCAGATTCGCCCGCTTCATTCTTTTCTGATTTGCAAAAAAAAATTCAGAATCAACTGCAAAATGCTCATATTTTGCCCTGAACAGTTGAAAACAGTCCTTTTCTTCCTAGTTGTTACAGTTATTCCATCTTTTAATGCAATAGTATCATTAACAGTTCAAAATTCATTATTTAAATTTTGAACCAGCCTGGTGTGTTGACTTCATGGCTCCTATCATACCATTTTGGATCATAATAGGTTGCATAGGCCTGTTGTTATTTTTATTTTTTTCACCCGCCCACTCCATTATTTTTCTAGAAAAATCCATTAACCAAGAAATGAAATTTGTGTGGCCTTATATTAGCAGTTGTTTATCTTACATGACATTTGTTGTATATCATTGAGGAAGAAGTTGGGCTGCTATTAACAATGTCAATAATTTTGATGTATTTTTACAGTGAAGCTGATTCATTTTTAAGATCCTGTCCCCTTTGTAACTTCTAGATCCATGTCACATGTTCAACGTCTCTGTGATGTTATGTTGATTTGAGTGATCAGTGTCCAGTCCTGTCCAACCTCATTATTCGTTGGGAAACAGTTTATATAACATACGACTGTACATACTACTTACAAGTTAGAAACCATCATTTCTAATCGAGTGGGCAAGACAAAAAAACACATGGGAAAATGGGGAAAACTAACAGGTCTACTTTCGACATCTCCATGAAGAAATTGTATGTAATTGGGGGGTTGACTTTTTTCTTTGCAATACTTCGTAATATCATCTATATTGTTTAACGTTCCTGGTTTTTATTTAGTTTTGTTGTTACGCAATGTGGTTTCAGCTATTTTGTTCTTTGTGCCATGCTCTCTTTTGTGTACATTTTTTAAAGAAACAATAAAAAGAATGACTTAAAAAAAACTTTTAGATCCAGCATACCTTTTTATCAGTGGTACTGTTGATGTTGTTGTCCTCAGACAGGTAGAAGCCGATGTTGTACCTGCCCTGTGTGAGCGTGACGCCCAGCGGCAGGGCCTGGACCCAGTAGCGGTAGTCCTGGTAGCTGTTCTCATGGACTACCGAGGGCAGGTCGGCATCTACAACCCTCACATCTTCAGCTGGGGGGGAGAGATAAACAATCATTAGGCCATGTTGATTTGATATTCAGGATGTTCAGGAGAACTTGCACTTCTTGTTCCGCCGCTCAGAACCTTTCAGCGTGCTACTAGGTTCTCTTCCAGTTCTCATCAATACACCGTTAACATACCTGTTTCCAAGTCATTTTTCAACAACAGCTTCTTTCCCCGGACTGCAAAATTATGGAACTCTCTTCCAAATAGCTGCTTTCCGTCCGATTACAAGCCACAAAGCTTCAAAACAAAGGTCCACCGCCATCTCCTGACATAACTACATTATACTGACTTAAGTACCTCTAGCTCTATGCCTAGAAGTGGCCAAAAATAATTGGCCTTGCATTGAGCGACACCGTTAAAAAAAAAAAAAATAATAATAATAATGGATGACATCCTCTGATGCGAGCGTGCAAATAAAAAAAAGTTTGGACAAAAAAAGTGCTTTCATTATGAAATTTACGTGGTTTTGAGGGTTCAACAAATGACACAGAGTATGGTTTGGTGAATAATCTACTTTTCAAATTGATTTCCTTACATTTTCGTCTTTTTGTTTGATATTGGCATTCTACTACACTGGTATCGTTTTCCAATGTTTTTTTTCTTTAACTTACGGTACATATTTGCTCATTTTGTACCAGTTTTGTACGATTTACAGTATGGCTGAAAACTTAAGTTTTTTTGGAAACAGCCGAAAATGCAAATCCCTGAACACTCCACGAGTACAACTCTTTCATAAAATATCAAAGTTGCAAATGACAAAAGAGCAGCTGTCACAGTGAAGTACCTGGCTTTTCAATAATAATTCCGTTAATAGCACCCAGGGGTTGGACCTTATTGGATGCTTCAAAATGTCAAGCATTAAGGACTGGCATTTGAACACTTTATGATAGACTTTGGGACATTGATTCTTTGTGATTTATAATCATGACATAACATCACTATTATTAGTAAAGGTTACTGAAATTTCACATATACACATTCTGTCTCCCTGGATGATTTCATATTGTACTTTGACAAGGGAGCCCGCAACCCCTTTTCCGTAGAGCATAATTGGTCCTTTTAATTCTACATAGAGCGTAGACGGACCGCTCTAATATTTTAGCGTAGAGCGTATTCGCCGTTTTAATTCTACGTACGTAATGCGTTTCAGCCACTTGGAATTTATCGTAAAGCGTAATCAAGAGGTTTCCGAATTCAGCGTAGAGCGTTGTCAGGACCCCCCCTCGCAGGCCCTCTGACAACACCGTGGTCCTTTATGATTTATGATAACATATTTTATGAAGCAGTTTGAACCAAAACGTCCCCCAAACTGAAGAGATTGGACTTACCCAAACATTACTATCATTTAGTAAAAGTTACTAAAATCTCACATACACACATTCTGCCTCCCTGGATGATTTAATAGCCACTGTGACAACACCGTGGTCCTTTATGATTTATGATAACATATTTTATGAAGCAGTTTAAACCAAAACGTCCCCCAAACTAAAGAGAATGGACTTACCCAAACATTACTATCATTAGTAAAAGTTACTGAAATCTCACATACACACTCTCTGCCTCCCTGGATGATTTAAAGTGCATAATAGACAACACGGTGGTTCTTTATGATTTATGATGATAATATTTTATGAAGCAGTTTGAACTGAAACTTCCCCCACAAGAGATAATGGACTTACCCAAACAGTATCATTACTTTATTCTAAGTTACTGAAATCTCACATACACACATTCTGCCTCCCTGAATGATTTAAAGTGCATAATAGACAACACGGTGGTTCTTTATGATTTATGATGATAATATTTTATGAAGCAGTTTGAACTGAAACTTCCCCCACAAGAGATAATGGACTTACCCAAACATTATCATTACTTTATAATAATAGTATAGGTTACTGAAATCTTACATACACACATTCTGCCTCCCTGGATGGTTTAAATAATTATAGTGCATAACTGACAACACAGTAGTACTTTTTGATTTATAATAACATATTTTAGGAAGCAGTTTAAACAAAAACTTCCCCCACAAGAGATAATGGACTTACCCAAACATAATCATTTAGTAGTTACTGAAATCTCACATACACACATTCTGCCTCCCTGGATGATTTATATAATTATAGTGCATAATAGACAACACGGTGGTCGTTTATGATTTATGATGACATATTATATGAAGCAGTTTAAACTGTAATTTACCCCACAAGGGATTGGACGTACCCAAATTGTTGCACAACTCCGTAGCCGCTACCAGGCTTCGGGAGCGGCAAAATGTTCTCTCCCAGCAGACAAACCTCCCCTGGCATGCTATCTCTCTATTTGGCTGATTTCTACTCTTTCCAGCCGCCTCCCGAAGCCTGGTAGAGGCTACCACTCCGGTCTTTGTCTAAACTAAAAGGAATGAGCAATCCACCGCTTCCGTGACGTCACACAGATAACACACGTGACTCCGTGAACAGTGGATCGTAAGGCCATGTTGATTTGATTATTTGGATGACATCCAATGGAAACCCCAAAACTGATGCGCGCGTGCGAATTAAAAAATTTTTTGCAAAAAAAAAATTGCTTTCCTTATGAAACGAAAGGTACGTGGTCATGAAGGTTGAACAAATGACACAGAATATGGTTTGGCGAATAATCTAGTCTTCAAATTCATTTCTTTACATTTTCTTTTTTTACTCCGTGAAGGAGGTCTGGACCTCCGGACGGAGTGTTGGGAACAGCCGTTTTTTTCGTGTTCACAGTCAAAACACTGGGTTCTCTTTGTGTAATCGGCACGCAATTTTATACGCCGTCTGCGGGCATGCCCGTGATGATGCACGAATGTGTATTTTTGCCGTTGCTGCTTTCGCGGTCAATGTAATATTTCAAATGCACCCCTACAATTTTGAGGCAAATTGGAATGGTCCAGAAAACCCGTTGTTTGGAATAGCGGGGGTTTGATTTTGGCATTCTACGACAGTGGTATCATTTTTTGCAACTTACGGTTTTATTTTTGCGCATTTTGCAACCGTTTTGTACGATTTACAGTATGGTTGAAACTTTTTTTTTTTTGAAACGGCCGAAATTCATGCGCGCGGTAGATGTCATCCATATAATCACATCAACATGGCCTAAGGTGGATTCCTTGACAAAGACTGGAGTTGTACAGTCGAAAACTTGGGTTAAGTCCAAAACTTTTTTGTTAACCGTTATGGGCTATTTTAATTCACCGTTAATCGTTGCCGACCCGCTCTAATTCAACGTTAAGCGATATCGGTATATTCCTCGTGAAGCGTTATTGGTCCTTTTAATTCTTCGTAAAGCGTTATTTGTCATCCTAAATTCAGCGTTACTGAATAATTCTTCATTACGCGCAGACCTGCGTACTAGTAGTCAAACCTCAAGTTGACGACGTCACTTTGCGTCTCGAAATGCAGGAAAATGCGTTAACGTTATTGAAGATAAAAAAAATGCCAAATTTCCCGGGGGAGTATTCCAAGCATATCTGGACGCACTCGGGGACCAAGGCAGGGAACACTAGTGTACCTTAAATGTACACTCCGTTACATATATTTCGTCAGCGATCACTCTTTCTCACCAACAGAAAACGAATCTACAGGAGTTCGAAGAAAATTCGTATCAATTTACCGTTAAGCGTTACCAACCGTCCTGAATTTACCGTTAAGCGTTGTCGGGCCTGCTGAATTTACCGTTAACCGTTACCAGGACCCCCCCCCCATGCAGACCCTCTTTTAAGATATGACATGTTTCAGTTAAGCTTGAATCCTTGGATGATATGAGCAGTTAGCAGCACAAGATACACATCTTTATGAGTTATGGTGATATAATTTCTTAATAAATAGCTATGATGGTGATAATAATAATGATAATATTTAATGCCACGGACTTACCTCCGTTTGCCAATCCAATGGCAAAGAACAGGAGTCCCAATATACACTGCGATCTGAAAAAAAGATGGTTTCTTGGCATGAATAACTCTTGTGTTATGTTCCACATTCGTCAGCACTACAATACCAAAGTGCCTGCTACATACTTTGGCAGAAATACATGCCCGTAGCCAGGATTTTGAATGGGGGGTTCTTCCCACTGCTGGAGGGGAGCTCGAGCGAGGTTCCTAGGGTGGCCCATGCTCCCCCGGAAAATTTTGAAAAATGAACCTTCTAAAATGGCATTTCATGCATTTTTGAGAGGATTTCCAAGAAACAAATCAGAGATAAATTTTTATTCAATGACAAAGGGAGCAGTTTTTCTACGATTCCAGTCCATCTTTTCAAGAAAAATCTTGGACCTTTACATAAAAAGTGGACCTTTACATAAAAAGTGGACCTTAA